GATGTATAAGTCAGTGCTTTTATTCTTCCATATGAGACCGGTACCATTTCACCGCCCCCGAAAGGATGGAGAACACATGGTTGGCCTAGGCGGGGGTACCATATCAATCGGGGATTTGATCTGCTGATCACTCGTAGGGCAGCCCCCATTTGGCTCCGAGTGAATGACATTGGAAAAAGTTTTCTCATGCGCACCAATGCTCCCAGTCACTCTGGATTCATTGATTATGCTCAAAGTAACAGCATTTCTCTCATTCCTACTTTTCTCCTTAACAAATAATTTTCTACTTCTTCTTGAATGTTTTTTATTATAATTTGCCCATTTTGTCCGAGCCCATTTTATTTTTATTGTATTTGATTGAGTTGTATTTACAGACCAATCTGTATTTTAAACATACCATCTTTGAAAGAACGCTTTGTTATCAGCAGTCTCCTGTAGATTTCTTTGGAAGAACGTCATCGCATCAACATCGAGACATCTTCAGACCCGGATGGCTTCGAACTCCCACCTTCAGCTTCTGCAGTAACGTTCTTATCCATTGAGCACTTTTTTCTATTAATCCCAGTAACGATATACCCCTTGTTGTGTTTACATTGCACATATCGACCCGAATCAATACTCGCCCAGGCCTAATAAGTCATCCATTCCTTCAAAGCCGGTGAATTGGTACCAGGCTAGAAGACGGCTAGGAGGGTAAGAAACCTCTGAGTGTGCATCAGCTAGCCACCGCAAGTCACTGTATGGGCCACACACGCATTCAAAACGCCACTAAGATTGTCGAGAAAGTCGAATGTGATGTACTCCCTGAAGACGGGTTTCACTAATGCCAGAGACTTCCTTTATCCTTTATATGCCCATGAAGAAGGTGAATGAAGAATAGTAGGGCTCATTGGAATCATGGAGGCGCTGTCTGGGAAGCTCAGTTAAGATTTCAGTTTAGGTATTAAGGATCCAAGTTCACTATTTACGTGCCGTCCTCATTTCTCAATAGGAACTATGCTGGGCGCCGATTTTCCGGGGGCCACAAAGAGGTCACCAAGCTTTCTGAATAGATCAATGCAGTATGTAAGCTTTTCCAAGACCGGAATATTCGTTCTCAATTTCCTTCGAGATCCTCTATCGAAACTCCCACCAGAAGTCAAGTGCAAGGTGTAATTTGCTTTTTTACTCATCATTGAGTTCCGAACTTCTTCGGGAATGTTAAAAGTCACACCTCATTTGTAAGTCCATGTCAGAAGAGAATCGAATGCAATTTTCCAGTTTTTTTTTCTCAATTCTCTCTCTGTCGCCATGCTAATTTGCTCAGGTCGTCGGCGATCGTCGGCGAATTCGTTGGGACGTCCTTTAGCCTTCGAAGCCTAACTGGCGTAAAAATTGGCGTTAATTTGCTCGGGGAACGGAGCATTCTTCGAGGCGTAATTGGCTGTCCACAAGGCTTCGACGGCACTGCCTTCTTTTTCCTCCCGAACATCCACCATTTTTTTTCTCAAAATCCGTAGGGGCCTAGAAGCGTCGAGGCTCGTGGGGGATGAGTCTTCCAGCGAAAGGAGAAGGAGCATCTGAGTTTCGTTTTCCCTGGGTATCCATCCTGATTATCCGAGATGAGCGATCTTCTTCAAATAATGGGATAACTTTAGGTGAAAAATAAGGTCTCCGGAATAGTCGATCCCTTTTTGGGGATGCGCTCCGCATCTGACTTCCATTCAGAATCGTAGTGGCGTATTGAATGCGTATGTGGTCTATACAAGGTCCTGCGGTGACCAGACGACGTTCAAGTCGTGCCTTCTCCCAGACATGTCTGGTAGCAATGGCCGAATTGTTTGTTGCACAGGTTAACACCCATGCTAAAACTTCGGAAGGATAGAAAGCTTGGCCGTTCTAGGCGGGTATTGATCCGGGATTCGACCCTCGGATCATTCGTGTGATAGTGCGTCCCTTGCCACTGCACCAACTTCGCCCTAGCACTGTGCAAACTTCTATAAATCTACCTTCCAGAGTAATTTTCTATTTCCGTTCTGACCCTCCTTTTTATTGTTTCTACCTATTCAGAGACGGTTACCAAACCATTTACCCTGCGCGGCATGTTGCTTAGGAGTAATTCACCGAAGCTGTTATCATACTTTTTGAGGGCCCAAAAATGGCTACCGGATTTTCATCATCTATGTCCGTAGGCCCAGGGTTTTCCAGTTGTGTTAGGCAAAGTCTGGGGTCGAGGGGTCGAATGCACCGACCCCTCGCAGACTGTTCGCACTATAACCCTCGAGTAAGGTGGTTCAGATTACGTTCGTGGGGACGACCATTGTTATCTTTTTTTTGATGTCAAACCGCAAGTCATGTGATCTGTCTATGATGGCCAGCAGTCCTCACCGAGCATAGTACTCAGTGATTGATGGTTCTACGAAGTATGCTCCATGTCTTTTTGCCTCTCTTCACAGCCCCCAGCGTAATAGACGTTTTTGTGATACTTTCGAAATACACAATTAAAAGTCCCGAACGTTGAGGACTCGTTGTGAAGACGTGCGACTCATTATAAGTTACTGCACACCTACCTAAAATGGGTGGAGCTTACTGGTTTCGCGTCAATCCCGCCCATAGGGCATAGAGCACTTTTTGCTTCCAAGATCAGCTGGTCGGGACAAAATGCTGAGGTGCCTCCGAGGGGAATATATTTGTGGGTAGCAAACGAGTTCTTCTACAATGAGCTTTACCTCTTAATGCACAGTGCATAAAAACTAGCATTTTTTATATCCCCCCTCCCTCCCCCGTTTGCCCACTTTTATGTTTTTTCATAGCTCTCCTAGCGAAAATACTTAATACCCGCGATTGTAGTTGTTCCTTCGCAGTATTTTTCTGGCCTAAAATGTCTTTTTCGAAGCTTCTGGTCCCCAGTTCTCGATATCTCAATGCGAATCAAACGATCATGCACGCGTGAAGTACCGTTCACCCACTACTGTACCGTCTATTGCCTTTAAAAGCCGAATGAAATGATCACAGAATAGAACAGGAATGTAGAGAGGCAAAACGATGATCAGGGATATTTCTTGAGCAAAAGGAAATATGATTTACATTTTCACTACTGACAGGGCTACCGGCACAGGTATACTCAAGAGCGCGTTCACGGTTCGCGATCTGAAGCGTCGATAGGAGATGGGCGCGTGATGTCGTCGGCGTCGATCGATACATCATGCAAGCCACATAACAAACGCTAGGATTCAACCCTTACAGAAGATAAAGCATGCTTCTTTCCTTCGCTCTTTTTTGTATATCAGCTGCGTAGAGCTTTCAAACTGATTGCTAAGGATCAAAAGAGCCATCACTCATTGGCCAATTGGCCATCATGGACTATGAATGCGCTCATAGATCTCTAAAGAAGTTGGCTGGAATCTATAATTTTTACAGTTCAGGAGTTCATTCAAGTAAAGACTAAAAAGTAGAGGGTGGCGGGAAAGAGGTACAATCACCGATCGGCTTTAAATAGCACGGGCTCAAATATTTCGATTTTGCCGATACAATCCAGAACCTCGCTCCACCATGGGTCTAGGAGCTTATATCCGAACGGCGTTCCCGCTCGCGCTGTTGCCTCCTGCCGAAGCGGAGGTATAAGATTCGATTTCCCAACAGACGCTTACGATAATTGCCACGAAACCACTGCTGCGTGCGCGCCTGGGACCGTGGGAATTCGGGTACAAATTCTGTCCCCATCCTTTCCTTTACCAAGACCAATTTATAACTCTCAATGGAGACTATCACTAGCGGCTCAAATTGAGTAGCGAAAGTATTGGTAAAGGTGTATCGGTGGCGAAAAAAGCGAAAAAGCCTCCTCAAAGTAGAGAAAGTAGTTGTTGTACGAGATTACATGATCGGGTACTCGAACGAGACTTCAGTTGTTATAATTGCGTAAAGAACCGGCTACATTAAGCCAGAAATGTCCAAATTGCCTTTAATGTCGCCATTTGTCACGACTAGTCCAATTTCCAACATTGATGTCCCTTGTTAAAAGTGCATCCTCTACGAATTTCTTAAAACTCGTCCACTTCTGGGTGTGGCATACAGTGGATATGATCTTCGAGCCTCTATTGCCCCCTCTTCAGACATTTCTCGATCTAACAGCTCCACATATGGCATGCCTGGATGCCACAGACGTGATTCTAGGGAAGTATTTCGGGAACGACTTTTTTTCTGAACTGCGCCTTTAAATTCAGTACTGTGAAAAAGACTTGCAACCTATCTTCATATGTCGAAGTGCTAAACACCGAAGTTGCAATGTACTCCTCTTTATTGCAGTACTTTCATATTTTGCTTGATCGTCACTCAATCGAGGTATCCCCAGTAGCTGCCCTGACACTTGAATTGCTTATAATAGTGTTGTTTATGACTTTCTACTGTTGCTTACTTCCTGGTGAGTCCTTAATCTCCTAGGTATTTACTACGCTATGTCCTCTAGTAATTCTGGTCGTCTTAGACAACGACACTTTTATTCGCATTTTCAGCTTCCAGGGACCTTAAACCCATGGTACGATTGCCAGAATTTTGTTCAGAAGTTCGAGGACGATCTCGAGCCTCAAACAACCATCGAATCACTCTTTCTGATTCACTTGAAAACATAGCCCTTTCTCAAAGAAAGGATACTATTCATTCGGCTAGAGTGCTATTCCGTTTCAAATCTTCCGAAAACCACCGTCGAGAATGCATGTTCGCTGATGGTAGTTGGAATGTACCGATGTTCAGCCTTACCTCCTCCGTTTCCGCCTGTCGCAACACTTCGAGATTTGTGTTCGACATAAGAGAGAATTAAGGATTGGCGTGATTTCTCGCTCTTTCTGGAACTGCCGATCCTAATCAGACGTACTCACCCGATAAGCGATGAGAGCTACTGGTGGAGGGGAGAAACCCTGGCGATCTCTGTAGGTGTCTGAGTAGGTTGTCCCAGCCCAATTTCTTTCATCTATATTCCCTCCACCTTTGGAAGTGGTGTAGTGGCGAGTGACGCACTTCACACACATATGGTCACGGGCTCGAATCGATATTCGCCCAGGCCAACCAAGCCTTCCTTCTCTCCGGGGTCGGTGGATTGGTACCAGACTCGTCTAGGAAGAAAAAGCACTGACTTGTACATCG